ACAGGGTTTGGCACTGGAACCAATAAATCAAATGCATCCCAACAGCATTTTCAGGACTTCATTTGTTCCACATTTTGGGCTTTTTTGAGGTGAAAAATGAATTGTATAAATTTTGGAATAAGGCTATAACAAGACAAAACTGGAAGAAGTGAGTACTGGGAATACTTTCTCGATGCACCATTCCTCCATTAGCTAGTAGTATTAGAAAATACACATATAGTTTGTATTTGAATCATTTATGATTTGAAATCCATCTAGTCTAGGATTGATGCTAAAAAAGAGAGTTCAGGCATTCCTTCTTTATTATAGCCCTAGCGAGACGTCTTCAGATAATCCAAAATGCCGCTGTGAAAGTATTAACAGGGACCAGAGAGAGGGACCATATTTCCCTAATATTCACTTCACTGGCTCCCTGTTAAATCCAGAATTAAACTAAACTAAATTCGTAATGTCACATATAAATTTATCAGGTCCATCATAAAGACCTCTTTATATCATTGTACCATATTATCCTAACAGAGCATTTCATTCTCAGACTGCTTGCTTAAGGCTATTGGGAAAAAAATCATGAATTCACAAAGTGTTTAGGTGCAAATTTGCTATGTAAAGTATATACAGACCAAAACTGTTTGTCTACTCGTCCTCAAAAACACAGTGCAAAAAAAAAAAATGTCTTTCTGGATTCATCCAATCTTAACAAGAAGGCAACAGCATGGAGAATTCTGTGCTCATACTTATTGTTCTTATTTAAAAGTAGAATAGGAGGCAGAGCTTTAGGAGCTTGGAAAGAAAGCACCTGGACTGCTGTGAGTCTGCACTGAAAATTTCTTTCTTGTCACTCAATTTTTTTTATTTTTATTTATTTAAATACCACTACTGCATGTCATTAACTTTTGCTTACTTTCTCTTGTGGTTAGTTTTTCTCCACAGTTTTTCTCCTTGTCTCCTTTTCCCTCACTCATCGCCCTAAACCAATTGCAGTAGATTGCTAACCCTTCCTGACCTTTGTCTTTTTAGAGGTCTCTTCCTGTTAAAACTGCTTTTCTTTCTTTCTTGCTCATAGGGGATTTTCTGTAATATTGCAATGTCTTATCTTAACTAACTTAAGTTGAGTGGTGTCACCTGTTGATAATTGCCACTTTATAAATTTAAATGCAGATTAACTGAATGGAAATATGGCATAGTCTTTGGAAAAAAAAGAAGAAGAAGAAATCATCATATTAAAACAGACCTTCAGTAAAGTGTTAACAGATGGATTTTTTTTTGTAGTCTGTCAGGCTGTCTAATCACAGAGGAAGGCTGTACTTCTCTGGCTGCAGCTCTGAACTCCAACCCCTCCCATCTGAGAGAGTTGGACCTAAGCTACAATCATCCAGGAGACTCAGGAATGAAGCTGCTGTTGGCTGGACAGAAGGATTCGTACTGGAGACTGGACACTCTCAGGTATGGAGAGAATGTCTGATAAAGGAGGAAACATTTTCTGTGTCTATCACTCAGTTGAATAATCTATTATTCAGTAATCCTTGTTTCTTCTTCTTGTTATAATAATAATAATAATAATAATAATAATACATTTTATTCGAAAGTGCCTTTCAGAACACTCAAGGACACTGTACACAGCAGAATAATAAAAGCAACATAAAAGCAAGCAGTTTACATAATCATAAAAGGATAAGACATAAAACAAATTTAAAATAGCAGAGTGGAGAGGTTATGTGGGATAAGCTATTTTGAACAAGTGAGATTTGAGTTATAAAGAGAGAGAAGGAAATGATATTTCTTGAATCACGAGGTCGGGAATTCCAGAGTCGAGGAGCAGAGCAGCTGAAAGCCCTGCTCCTCATGGTGGCAAGACTGGGGGAGGGGACGGAGAGAGAAAGAGAAGAAGAAGATCTAAGACACTGAGATGGGGCGGTGATCTGAGCCAGATCAGAGAGATATGGAGGAGAGAGAAGATGAATAGCCTTAAATGTGTAGAAGAGTATTTTGAAATTGATAAGAAATTTGACAGGAAGCCAATGAAGCTGCTGCAGGACAGGAGTGATGTGATGGATAGAAGGGGTCCTGGTGATAGTACGGGCAGCAGAGTTCTGGACGGGTTGTGGATGGATTTTTGAGTAGTGAATTAAAGTAATGGAGTCGGGAAGTAACAAGGCTGTGAACAAAGATGGCATGGTATGTGGGCTGAGAAAAGGACAGAGATGATTAATGTTGCGCAATTGAAAATATGCAGAACGAGTGACATTATTAATGCGGGAATTAAAAGATAGAGTACTGTCGAAGATGACGCCCAAACTTTTTACAGCGGAAGAAACGGAGACCGGCAAGTTATTGATAGTAACAGAGAAACTGTTGGCTCTGGATAATGTTGATTTAGTGCCTACCAAGAGGAGCTCGGATTTGTTACTATTGAGTTTGAGAAAATTGGAAGAGAACCATGAATTTAGTTCGGCTAAGTAGAGGGTGAGGGAGGATGGGGGGAGAGCAGAATCAGGTTTAGTGGACAGATACAGCTGCGTGTCACCAGCATAACAGTGAAACTGTATATTATATTTACGAAAAATGTGTCCAAGCAGAAGAAGTTAGATAATGAAAAGAGGGGCCCCAGGACAGATCCCTGGGGCACGCCAGTGACCAGAGGAAAGGACTGAGAAGTAAAAGATTTGAGTCGAATAAACTGAGTGTGATCAGAAGGGAATGAGAAATAGTGTTGAAAGCAGCAGTCAGATCGAGGAGAATATGAATGGAAAGTAAACCGGAGTCAGTTGCCATAAGAAGTTCATAAAAGTTCACTTTTATGAACTTTAAAGACCATTACGAATGTTTGCCAAGTTAGATCAATGATAGCCTTAGTTACATGTGACAATATTAAACTTGTTTGGCAGCCCTTAGATAATCCTGCTCATATTTCTTATTATTCACTTACATTGATAAATTCAAGTGTTCCTAAACCTGCTTCCTGTAACACATTCAAATATTTGTATTTGTGTTTTTGTTAATCCCAGAGCCCCGTAAGTGAAGGTTCAGAATGCCGTATCATCACATGATTAGTGTAGATTTCAGATAGTTCCTAAAGTGCTTAGCTTTAGTTAAGATTCAGTCTGAGGATTTAGGTCTTACCGCAAAATCTTCAGGCTCGTCAATCCTCCTATGGCCTCTCCTTTGGAAAAAACTGCTGATCTTAAACTGGACACAAAACACTACACACATGAAGGCTAATTTAAATCATGCTCTCAAAAACTGACATACTGTATTTGTAACTCTGTCTGTGAAAGTGGATTGGAGGAATATGTGCTTAAAGTTATGTTTTGAGAACATGGGATCTTTTGCAAGTACATAACGTTGAATCACTGGGATAGTTGGTTGTGGTGGCCAATAGACTTACATTCGTTTATGTTAGCACATTAGTGACAGAATAAGTAACTCAGTGGAATGCAAGGGGCCTAAAACTAAAAAAATCAGTGTATCAGTGTTTTGTGCTGCCCCTGGCTGTAACATTGACTTA